AATTTTCATTTCTGAGAGAATAATAGATTCTACCCCCCCCCCCCGGACTTATCGCCTCCCCCGCGCGTGCTGTAAATCGCACATGATTCTGACCGCATGTCCATCCTAAAAATGAGTTCACACCATCCCAGCCAAGCCGGTATCCCCCCCCCTGCGGTTCCCTGTCAAATAACACTGTGCGGGGACATTTTTCTTTCTAACATAACACGTGTTCGCGAATCCCTTGCAAAAAACGGGGCGAAGTGCACGCGCGCGCGTCGTCGCGCGCGCATGCCGAAATCCTTCAAAAACCTTCGGTGCCGGAAGGATTTCGCAATCGAGCTTCCGAGAAAAAAAACATACAAACACACATGGTTTCGCAACACTGATTTGCTAAAAAAACTTCCGCGCAAGCTCTTGCGAAATCCTACGAAAACCATAGGTTTTTCAAGATTCTCACAACATGCTACCACACGGGCTTCACGCGCGCGCATGTCAAAATCTGTCGAACGCCCTTGCGCGTGTGCCGTCGCGAGAATCCCTTGCAACAAATGGGACGAAATGCAGGCGCGCGCGTCGTCGCGGACGCATGCCGAAAACCTTCAGAACCCATCGGCTTCGGAAGGATTTCAAAATCGCGCGCCCAAAAAACCTACAAGAACCCAATGTTTCGCAACGCGGATTTTCAACAAAAGCGTGCGCGCGCGCTCTTGCGTCGTCGTCGTCGTCGTCGTCGCCGTCCTCCCTCCTCCAGCGTCGTCGTCGTCGTCGCCTACGTCGTCCTCTGTCTTTCCTCCTGTTTGTCGTCGTCGTCCTCTTCGGCGTCGTGGTCGTTGCCGTCGTCGTTGTCGCCGTGGTCGTCCTTCCTCCTCCTCCCACGTCGTCGTCGGCGTCTCATCGTCGTCCCTCCTATGTCGTCGCCGTCGTCGTTGTCGTCGTCGTCTTCCCTCCTCCCTCGTCGTTGTCGTCGTCGGCGTCGCCGTCCTTCCTTCATCGTCGTTCGCGTCGTCACCGTCCTCCCTCCTCCTTCGTCGTTGTCGTCGTTGTCGCCGTCGTCGTCCTTCCTCCTTCCTCCTTCCTCGTCGTCGCCGTCGTTGGCGTCGTCGTCGTCGTCTTCGTCGTCGTCGGCGTCGGCGTCGTTGTCGTCGTCGAAGTCGTCGGAGACGTCGTCGGTGTCGTCCTAGTCGTTGTCGTCGGTGTCGTCGTAGTCGGTCTTAACAGGTTTTGCAAGCCAAGTTGCGGGTGGGCGGGTGGGATGTTTGCGCGAGCAGTGGAGATGGCGCCTTCAAGTTCCGCAGTGTGGATTGCACCGCATAGAATGCGCCGCCTAGATTGCAACGCGGACTGCACCGCGTAGGTTTTGCAGTCGCGCAATGAACCATGGGGTGGCTGATATTTGTTATTGCGCTATTTCAGGGGGGCAGGGCATCGCCCCCCTCCCTCCATCGCCCTTGTCAAATCACATAGCATGCGCGCGCGCCCGTTTAACGCATATCGCTTGCGTTGGGGAAACCAGTGCGACAGGTAACAGAATGTCCACGCGCGCGCATTCGCGCGCGTATGCTGGAGTTCAACGAACGCTCGAGTTTGCGCGGGGATTTCAAAATCGCGGTGGCCGGTTACGGGGCACATCTGAAGCGCAATGATGATGTACTTGCGCATTCTTACAATCGTATCTCGGCCCCCGTGTGTTATGTGACCCCCCGCTTGAGGCTCCCGAGTGCTCCCGCATCTCGGTATGTAGCTGTTCTGGCTCGAGCGCCCCCCTCACCAGCAGCCCGCTGCGCTTTGCAGGTGAGGGGGGGCTGGGGATTTCGAGGGGGGCGGCCTGCCGGCCGCCCGCGAGTGGCGGCGCGCTGGGCGCGGGGGCGCCCGCCTCGGGCGCAGGCGCGGCAGCTGGCGGGCCTGGGGGCCTGCTGGGCGCGGGCGCTGGAGGCGCGGGCTTCGCGGCTGGCCCGCCGCCCGCCGCGCCGCCAGGGGCCGCGCCCGCCCCGCCGCCTGCGCCGGGGGCAGCGCCGCCCGCGGGCGCAGGCGCAGCGCCCAAGGCCGCCAAGAGAGGCAAGGGCGGCGTAGCTGGCACGGGCAAGGCGGCCAAGGCGGGTCGCAAGGCAGCGGCCGCAGCTGCGCCTGTCCCAGCAGCAGCAGCAGCAGGCGCAGTGGCCGCCCCCCCCCCGCTGCCTCCTCCGCCTGTTGGACCTCCTCTGCCGTGGGCCGCGGGGGGCGCGCCGACGCCGCCGCCCGCGAGGGCGATGCCCATCCCTGGCGGGCCCCCACCGCCAGCCGTGGGCCCCATGATGGGCGGCGCCTGCGGAGGTCTGCTGGGCTTCGGGGGGTTCGCAGGCGGAGGGGCACCGCCACCACCAGGAGGTCAAGGTCAGTGGATCCACAGACTTGCCACGCCCCAGGTGCTGGCAGGACTTGGAGTGCATCCAGGGTGTGAGATCGAAGGCGCGCTGCTCGACCGCGGTGGCGCGCCCGTCGGCGCCGCGAAGTTCGCCGTGAGAGCGGGCTTGCCCCCCTGGGTGCTGTGGGGATGTTCGCGGGGTGCCAGCTCGCGTCGACGGGGGTGCCGCTCTACGGGCCCAGGCTGCAGGGTCTGTTCGGCATGGGGCAGTCCGTCCTTCACTTGTGCGGAGGCCGACCCGCGGTGATCTGCGGCCAGCAGGACATGTGGACATGTGGCCAGGGCGCCAGGTTGTGCACGTCGACACCTTCCGAGTGGTGGCCCCGTCGGCCCTCGGTGCTGGGCTGCCTGGAGGGGCCACTGGGGCGGCCGCGCCGTTGGCGGCGGCCGCGGCGGCGCCCCTCGCCGCCCTGCCTGGCGCGACGAGCCCCCTAGGAGGAGCCCCTGCTGTCCCGGGAGATGGCGATGGAGCAGCGAGCTCGAGCGAGATTGATGCGAAGAAGCTGCGAGAGAAGCTCGAGAGGCTGCGACATCGTTTCGCTCAGAAGCGAGACATCGGCTCACCCCTGGCGTCTCGGGCCGAGCAGCACCTCGACGGCCGCGGGAAGTCCAAGAAGAAGAAGCGGCGGAATAACAACAAAGAGGGCTCCAGTGACTCGTCCGAGAGTTTTCGTGACGCCCCGCCCTCTGGCGCAGGTCGCCGCATACAGTCTGTGAGTAGATCGGCGCCAGGTGCACCCCTTGCATCAGGCCTTGAGCAGATCAAGCAGCTGTTGGCGCAGATGGGCGGGGCGGACGCTGAGGAGAACCTGAACAGCATGGCGGCGATGGTCGTGCAATACATCACCTCGGCGTGGCACGGCCGGCGCCCGCCTCATACGATGGGTGTGAGGAGCACCAAGGAGATGAGAATGATCGGAGGTTTCCTTGACGCGCTGCTGGCAGGTCGCCTCCCAGAGCTGGCCATCGAGCAGCCGCATAAGGACGGGCACTGGGCCGTGGCGCAGCACCTGGAGGTCGGGGCCGACGTGGGCGCCAGCCTGGCTCGGGCCAGCGAGGCGCGCCAGGCGGCCAGTGCTTTCGAGGACGAGGCGAGGCTGGCGCAGCACCTGGCGGCCGCGGGCAAGAAGACGGGCAGGCCCCCCTAGGGGTTTGGCCGAGGGGGGCTCAGGAGCGACGCTCCCCCCCCCCCCCCCCCCCCCTCCCCCCCCTCAGAGGCCAAGCGACGGGGCGCCGTCGCCCAGGGCGCCACCGCCAGTCGTAGTCACAGGTTTCTGAGAGTTCACGGGCTGCCAAGAGGAGGCGCCGCCGCGCAGGCGCGGCGGCGAAGAGGTTGGCAGCCGGGAGACAGGGGCACGAGGCGGGCGCGTGGTCCACGGCAGCCCAGGTCGCGAGGCAGCTGGAGGGCCCGCCGCGCCGTGCTGGGGGAGGCAGCGGCCCCGAGTCTGGCCGCAGCCCCCCTCGAGCCCCCACGCCTCGAGGCATGTCGCCGCCGGGGGCGAGGGGTTCGGGCGCGCCTCAGCTGGCGTCGTCGCGGGGCCCGACTCCGCCTCGGCAGCGCAGCCCTGCGCGTCGCGTGCAGTTCCTGCCCGACGAGATAGGAGACGGGCCCTCGGTGCGCAGGCCCGCCTTGGCCAGCTCAGGTGCAGGAGCAGGTCGAGGGGCCGCGGGCGCCCGGAGCTTCCTCGACACGGTGAAGCAGGGCAAGGGCAAGAACAGGAGCGCGGCGAAGGGCAAGGGCAGGTCGGAGAAGGGGTCCAAGGGGCCCAAGGGCGGCAAGAAGGGCTCCAAGAGCAAGAGGGCGTGAGCGAGGAGCTCGACGCCACTGGCGAGAAGGAGGAGGCCGGCTTCTCAGGAGAGGTGAGGTCAGACACGGACGATAGCTGGGAGTCTGCCGCGACGGAGGTTGGAGAGGAGGAGTGGATGGACGCCTGCAGCCTCGCAGGGGCAGAGCGCGCCAGTGTGCCTAGCGGCCGCGCTGCCGTGCTGGCCCCCCCCGCGCCCGCGTGCTGGGCGACGGCGCTGGCGGGGGCGGCGAGGCGGCCCCCCCCCCCCCGCCTGCGCCCGCGGCGCCAGCGTGCCCGACGGCGCAGCCAGCGAGCGGCGGCCCGCCCACGCCGACGTGCCACGCGGCAGAGTTGGCGGGCCTGGCGGGGGAGGCCCTTGTGTAGTGCAGGTTTACACATATTTCGATATCCCAGGAGATCGCGTGGTGACGGCCAGCAGCGTATGTTCTTTGGGAGGCCAGCTTCGTGATATCTTGTGCCAGCATCAGCCAGCTCGAGGTTGCGATGAGGGCGTGTGCGTGAATCAGGTGGAGTCCGATAGCAGGAGGGCCGAGCTCGAGACATATGATGTCCCCACACCCGTCCAGGCGGAGAAGGTGCAACCTTCTTCCTCTTCCGCCTGGGGAAGTACGCGAAGTGCTTGTGTTGCGCCGTGGAGGTGCTGGTGAAAAGGAGCTGGTGCAGGCTGGTCCAGAGTTGAACGACTGGCTCTCCCTGTGATCACGGGTCTCAATATCCCCTACGGGCTGCGCGGGCGTGCCCCCCGTCTGGCGCACAGCGGGGGGGGACCTACAGCGGCGCAAGCATCTGCCACGCGACTCCTCGCCGAGGAGGCACAGGTGTTCCTGGACCAGTGCGGCGGCGACTTGCCGACGATCGATTGGGAGACAGAGATGAAGGCCTCCGCCGTCAGCTACACAGGGGAAGAGGCCTACCCGTCGGAGCCTCTGAGCCTGGAGCGGCTGGTCGAGGCGCCCCCCCCCCCTGCGTCAGCGGCTTCGTCGGTGGACGTGCTCAGGGTCTGCGAGGGCCGGGTCCGTCAGGCGTTGCTGAACCCGAGCCGCGCCCTGCAGGCGGAGGACGACGTGGAGGTGATGCCGAGGGCCCCCCGTGTCTGGGCGCCCGCCTCGGAGTGGGGCCGCATTGCCGCGGCGCTGGTCGAGGGGGGGATCTCGAGGAGGTGGCTGGCTGTCTTCAAGGGCAAGAAGGTCCTGGGCGGCATGTTCGGCGCGCACAAGGGCGGCTACAAGCGTGGCGAGGGCCCCCAGACGCTCGTTATGAACAGGAACCCTTCGAATGCAATCCAGAAGGTGATTCAGGGGAAATGCCGCTTCTTCCGTCGTCAGATAAGTGGTGTAGTGTGGCGCTCAGGTCAGGAGAGATCCTCGCCATGTCGTCGGAGGACCTCAAGTGCTGCTTCTACGTATGCCGCCTCCCGTCAGCCTGGAGGCCCTACTTCGCCCTGTCGCTTCCAGTTCGGCGCAGGGTGATGGGGCTGTCAGGCGAAGGATCAGTCTATCTGACATCCACGGCGGTTCCGATGAGCTGGGTCTCGGCGACGGGAGTACTCCAACACGTTCACCGAGATCCTTTGCGGCACTGGCGGGCAGATGTACCAGCCCTCCCTGCAGACCGCGAGCTTCGTCGCGACGTGCCCTTTCCTGGTCGAGGCAACGGGGCGGTGCCAGGTGGGCCCGCCGCCGTCTCAGGCAGTGTGTCGCCCGACACTCGACCACCCCCTCGGATTCGCGCGCGGCCTGGTGGGCCAGCCGACTCAGGGCATGTTTGCGAGGGCTTTCGGGGCGACATGTCGGTGCCAGGTGGGCCCGCTGATGTCTCCAGCCTGATCGAGTCCAACGGCCAGCAGCCCCAGCAGACTTCAGAGTGGCCAGGTGGGCCAGCTGTGTCAGTGGGGCGGCTGGGGCGTGGCCCAGTGGGCTCGCCGCCGCTGGCCGGTCGGGGCGACGTCTACATCGGACGGGGCAACCAGCACCTGGAGCTCGAGGCGTCGGTGTGGGGTAACCCTTTCCGGCTGAAGGTAGACGGGGCTCGGCGCGAAGTAATTGCGAAGTTCGGAAGGTGGTTGCGGTCTCAGCAATGGCTGGTGGACAGGGTTTCAGAGCTGACGGGATGTCGGCTGCTCTGCCACTGCCGAGACAGCCAGGAGCGCCACGGTGATGAGATCATCAAGCTCTGGGACGACGTGTGCGCCCCTGAGACCAAGAGCGACGTGCAGCCCGTTCGGACGGATGACCAGTGTTGGCTCGTGTGGCAGGTGCACATCGACAACTCGGACATGATGGAGGTCGGTCCCGCCGTGGAGATGGAGATGCTCAAGCTGGCGGGGCGCCCCGAGGCCATGCGGGCGGCTCTGGAACGGCATGAGGCACTCGGCGCCCCAGTGAGCGAGGCCAAGGCCGTGGTCAGAGAGTCCGCGGCGACCGCGCTGGGTGACTTCGTGAACGGGGAGCAGGGCACGATCGGGCCGCCAGGCGAGTTCTGCCGGAAGGTGATCGTTCTGGCACCCCACACCCTGCGACGGCCCCGTGTTACACAGAAGTGGTTGCAGGTGCTGGCGGGGCGCTGGGTGCGCATGATGCTCTACCGTCGCGAGATCATGACCTGCTTTGGTGAGTTCTGGACGTTTCTGGTGCGCGTGCGGGGCGGGGGGGCTGTTCCCGACGCGGTGCGACGTGAGCTCGTGAGCGCGCTGTGCCTCATGCCCTTGATGCGTTGCGACTTGCGTGTGCCTATCAGCGGGCTGGTCACCGTGTCGGATGCGAGCCCATGGCGAGGGGCGGTGCGCCGCTCGGTCAGGCTCCTGCCGCGCGGCATGGCGGCGGCTTGCGCAGCTCAGCGTGGCCATTCGTCTCGTCTCAATGACGAGGGCATCCTCTTGTCGCTCTTTGACGGGATCGGAGGTGGCCGCAGGGCCTTGGACTTCTTGGGCTTGTCGGTGGCGGCGTTTGCCACGAGCGAGGTTGACGAGGAGGCGGCGCGAGTCGTCCGCTACAGCTGGCCCGACGTGGCGGAGCTGGGCGACGTCGCCAACATCGCCCGCGCATGCTTGGAGCGGGTGAGGGAGCGAGCGCCCATGGCCAAGTGGATGCTGGTGACCGCGGGCCCCCCATGTACCGACCTGTCGAGGGTGAAGGCTGGTCGGAAGGGGCTTGCTGGCAGCCGCTCTCGCCTGTTCTTTGATATCGAGCGTGCCGTGCGCCTGGCGTCGGAGGTGATGGGCGAGGACTGCCGCATATTCAGGATCATCGAGAAAGTTGCGTCGATGGATCAGGAGCCGCTCGACGCGATGTCATCTGGGCTGGGTCTCGAGCCCGCGTTCATCGATGGCGCTGTGTTCTCCCGTTGCCGCCGCGATCGGGTCTACTGGGTTGGCCAGCACGTGATGGTGCCCTGGCAGCGCTCCGAGATGAGGCCCGAGCGCTGCGGGGCGCGCGTGGTGCCTCAAGAGACCCCAGGCCGACGCCCTTGAGCGCGAGCTCCTGCTCGCCCCCCCCCCCCCCCGCGCCGCGCGGTGACGGCGCGGCCCACGAGAGCAAGGAGGGACCTCAAGAGCCTCGAGCAGTGCCGCTGTGCCCTCCTGGGCAACTCCTTCCAGTGCTGCGCGGGGCCGCGTTAGCGGGGGTCCTCCAGGAGATGCCGACTGCGGAGACCACGAGGTTCACCGGGGGCGCCTGCACCATCGCGGAGGGGGACGTGGTCATGGAGGGCGACCTCAGCGGGCACGACGGCGAGGAGCAGACGATGGCCATGAACGATGTCCAGTACGATAGCGAGGGCAAGGGCGTTCTGGTCAGACAGCGGGACCTGCTGAATCGCGACGTCGCGAAGGACTTGTCGGCGGTGCTGATCGAGGAGCTGGCGAGGGGAGCGGAGACACGTGGGAGCGACGTGCGTCTCGACGTTCTGGAGAGCACGTCGCCGCTCGCCTGGCCCAGGCGCCCAGTGTCGTCGGCTGGCTAGACGCGGCGGACGGTGGCGGTGCGGAGCTGCCTGGGGGCGCTGCAGTGGCGTCTACGACAGGCCCAGCACCTTCGCATTCGTTTTGCACATCTGATGGACAGTCAAGTCGGTTTCGGAGTCGTGACGAAGGGCACGTCCTCCTCACATGTGCTGAATGTAGTGGTGAAGCGGATCTGCGTGCTAGTGCTGGCCAGTCTGCGCAGGCCTATAGATGGATACCCACAGACGGATCGCATCCCAGCGGATGCTCCGTCGCGCAGGGCCGATGGCGAAGAGAGTCATGGTTAGCCGACGCCAGCGGAGTGTCGTGGCCCTGGCCAGCCAGCAGGACCGCAGAGAGGCTCGACGACAGGCCGGGCTTCTTTCCCACACACTGGTTCAGCCAGTTACTCTTCAAAGGTACCGCGTTGCAGGTGCAATTTTTTCCCAGCGGCTCGCCCTCAGAGGCGAGCGAGTGAGCACCAACACCGACTACCTCGACTTTCAAGTCGCCGGGTGGATCGAGTATTTGTGGTCGGATGGTCATGGTGCCAACGAAGCAGCAGATGCACTCTCAGGGCTGCAGTTCCTGCTCCGTCGCCGCCGCATCTTGCCAGCCTCCTGGAACTTGTTCGGGGCGTGGCGGCGGATCGAGCTGCCACATCGCGTGCCACCGTTGCCGCTCAATCTTCCCCTGGCGATGGCCTGTGTTGCGAGGTACTGGTGCCGCAACGATATCGCTTTGCTGCTGATCCTCGGGTTCAGCGGCTTCTTGAGGGCCACAGGGATGGTCACCCTGTGCCGCTGGCAGATCCAGGTCTCGCTGGATCGCTCGACTGTGGTGATCCTTTTGCCTATCACCAAGAGCGGGCTGCGGCGGCGCGTCGAGGAATGCCTCTTCTATTCTCTGTGAGCAAGCTCCTGCTGTCTCCGCAGCTTCTCTGCCCAAGTGCCCCCCGTCGGCCGCGCGTGCGGGCGCCTTATGCAGGCGGTCGCACAAGCGGCTCTCCAGGGCGCTGGGGAGATTTTGTTCAGGGGGCTGCGGGCCGCGCTCTACGAGCGGCTCGTGGCTGCCCCCCTCTCTGTGCTTCAGGACCAGGGGCCCCCAGCTCCTGCCTGGTCCATCCTGCAGGCGGACTCGTCCGAGGGCGAGGGGGCCTCCTGCCCTCTCCCTTCGGCGGGTTCCACCTGCCCCACCGTCTGCCTCGGGTTGGCGGTGGACCTGAGCGGCGGGGTCTCTCCCTGGCTGCTCAGCACGGTCGCCGCCCTCCTCTGGGTGACGGCCGCCTGCAGCGCCTGCGCGGGCTGCTGCCTCGGGCTGCTGGGCCCGTACGTGTGGCGGAGGCTCTGGCCCTTCGCCTGGCCGCGCGGCGCGGTTTCTGCTTCGCCTGAGCAGGACCGCCGTGCGGCGCGAGCGCTGGCCTACGGGGCTCCGCCTCGACCTCAAGCGCTCGAGCGGGCAGACGCCCAGCGTGCGGGCGGCGGCGTCCACGGCGGCGCCCACTGATGGCGGAGCTGCCACCAGTTGGCGGAGGGCCCCTTTGGCCCGAGCTCTACCCTTTCGCTGCGCCCACGGCGCGCGACTACGCACGATGGCGCCTAGACGACGGCGACACCAGCTGGGCGGCTATCCCCCTCGCCTCTCGAGAAGGGGGCATCCTGCTGGCCCTGCCTGGTGCCTTTCGCTCTACAGCGGAGCTCGAGGCTGCCGAGGCGGTTGGCTTTGCTGGGATGATAGGCCCCTTCCAGCTAGTGGACGTCCAGCTCCAGGGGGCCGCTTCACGGCCGCTCGCCACTACCGCATCCGTCCTCGTTATAGATATCGAGGTTTCCGAGCTCGAGCTCGAGTCGCTGTACCCTCTAGAGGTCGGCGACGACGCAGGCATCGTTCCCTTCGCCGAGGTGCGCAGCCGCGTCTATTGGCCGCATCCTTCGGGGGTTCGGGTGCTTCGCGAGGGCTACGCTCGTTTGCACGGCGCCCCGCCTACCGCAGGGGAAGAGCCTCTCCCAGGGGCCGATCGGGCTACCCCCTACCACTCTGCCGACGAGATGGAGGAGCCCGAGGGGTTCGCGGCCGACGGGGAAGCCGACCGCGCGGCCCCAAGTGCGCGAGCCCCCGCGGTCGCTGGAGCGCCGCGCGGCCCGCCCGCCAAGCGCGCTGGCGCCGCCGCGCCGCCACGGGTCGCGGGTCCTGCTCCGATTGCTCCTGGCGCTCCTGCGGCGTCTCTGGACGACGGGGCTCCCATGACCCGCGCCGAGGTAGCTGCCGAAATGCGCGCCTTGCTTGCAGCCCACGCGGCCTCCACGATGGTCGGCGGACCCGAACCGCTGGGCCCCGCTCCGGCTGCCCAGAGCGCTCGGCCCGAGGTGCCTCAGCTTTTCAGCGACGAGGCGGCGCGCCTCGGGCTGGATCCTGCGGGGATCGAGGCCGTCTTGTCCCACGCACCCGTGGCCCCTCATCGGGTCTCCGCGCGCCCCAAGGGACCCACCTCCGCGCTGGTCTCGGCGTGGGAGAAGGCGCGCTCTTCTGCTGTCCCTCGGGCCCCTTCGTCCGCTTTCGGACCGATGGGCCCCCGCCGCCGCCTGGGCTAGCCTATCCCGCTGCGGTCGACGGCTTTGCCGAGGTGGGCGGCGCCGACGGGTTAGAGCCGCCCCTTGCGGCCAATCCGACGGACTTCAGCCTCATGCTTCAGTGCCTGCACCAGTCCCTTTCCTTGCAGCAGGGGCGGGGCCATCGCCCAGCCTTCCACCCGCTTCTGGGGACCCTGAGCGACCAAGCTCAAACTCCGCCCGCGACCTCGGGCGACCCCGCGCACGCATCGGCTCAGATGGGGGGAATCGCTCGGAGGCGCGAGTGGCAGCAAGCGCTGATGCAGCACGGCCCCGACGTGCGAGGACTGATGAAGGAGAATTTGGCCCGCGTTCTGGGCGTGGAAGTCAGCGCCGTGACCCCCATGGCCATGCATCAGTACTTTCGCGAGCACAGCCCCCTCGGGGCTCAGCCGTCGACGCACGAGTTGTTGACGCATTTTGCCTTCCTCAGCGCCGAGCTGTGGCGGGCCTGCGAGGAGGGCAACCCCGAGAGGGTCCAGACCTTGCTGACTTGCCAGTGCATGTTCATCGACCAGTTGGCGGGGGACCGCGGCTACCTCGAGGCCGCTTGGTTCCTCACGGGGCTGGAGCCTCCCCCGTGTCGCGTGACCAGTCGTCACACGGAGCGCGAGGCCCAGACCCCGTTTTCACCCCTAGTGGATCCTCGCTGGCTGTCGGCGCAGGGCGAATACATGAAGGAGCTGCAAGCATTTCGGGCGCGCCTCGACGCCGAGCGCGCCGTCGCGCTCCCCAAGCATCCACCTCATCAGCCCAAGCAGCCCAAGGTCTCAAAGCCCCCCTTCAAATCTCAGGGTGCTCCCAAGGCCCCGAAGGCGGTGCCCAAGAAGGACTGAAGATGCCCTTGGCGCCCGCCTTCTTGGAGGGGGGGCCTTCGCGTGGCCGAGGTGCGCCGCCGCAGACAGTCTGCACCGACGCTGCTATGGCTGCTAGGCGTGTTTGGGCGCAGCGAGGGCGTGAGGGTAACAATGCGCTCCTCCAGCGATGCTGTTGCGGCCCCGCAGGGAGGAGTACGTTCCGCCACCACGCCCCTCGCTCTGCTCCGAACCGCCCCTCGGATCCATTCGGCCATTTTGGCCGTCACCTGCCTCAGTCGAGCGCTCCCCCCATGGGGCCTGCAGCCCCTGAGGTTGGTGTTCTTGCTGGTGCTTGTTCTCCTTCAAGCACCCCTGCTGCTCTTGCCAACGTCGCGCCATTTGTCGCTGACTTGTCTGCCTTGCTGCGCCTGTTTCCAGGTGCGAACATTGATATCACCCACTGGGCGGCAGCGCTGTCCCAGGTTGGGATGGGTGCTCGATGTTCTCTTGGATCTTTCTCCCGCTCATCTATGCGTGCAATGGACCGGGACGACCCGTACCTTTTGGGGCCGCCTCCCCGCGATCCTTGGCCGTGCCCGCCTGCTCCACCTCTTGGTCCCCCGCCTGACGGCTTGTCTTCGAGGCGCAGGGAGCGCTGGAGATTGCGGCGCGCGGCGCGGACGCTCGCGCAGTATTCTGTTATTGCGTTGAACTGGCTCACTTTGGGTCATCCTAGCCTCGCTCCCGCCGAGGCTCGCGTCCGTGCCGCGGTCTCGCCCTGCCAGGAGGGCGTCCGCACCCGTATCGAACGGTTGTGTCGGATCGCAGTTCGCCTCGCCCGTGGTGGCAAGAGCGACTTAGGTCGAGCCTTCGCCAAGTTCGACTCTACTGAGGTCTCGCTCCATGGCCTGGCCACCCATGTTGCAGCTTTGGAGGCCTCCTTCACCTCCTCTTCTTCCGTGCCCGCCCCCATGCGGCACTGCCCGACCAGCGCTCCTTCCGTGCCTGGTTCGCTGGCGTCTGCGGCGGCTTGGGACTCCACCCAGGTCGAGCCCTTCGATTTAAAAGTCAGGGCGTCTCG